CTCAAATTTGTATTAAAACTTGTCGTTTTTGGATATTAAGATGGCCTAATGGCGACATACAAGAACCGTAAAAAGGCCAACTTTTAAACGATTTTGGAACCGGTTTGTCGTGGATTAACTAGCATTGTTTTTGGATAAATTAACTGTTTGAACATCGACAATTACATCGCGAAGTCCACAGCTTGAATCGCCCGAAAGGATACTACATTATTCGACGGATATCTATCTGGTGTATAAGCGATTTACTATAAAATTACACTATCAACTCGATGGAATTGCCAGTGGAAGTACGTGTATCTCGGGAACCACCTAGACGTAAACAAATGCTAACAAACTTTATGTAGAAATGTTGCTTGTTCATGTCGTTGTTATTATCGAAGTCCACAGTAATGAGATATTTAAACAAAGTAGGTTAAAATTTTATATTTTTGTCAACTCCTATACTGTTTATAGTAATTTTCGGTCGCCATATTAAGGCAAAGTGCGCATGTCCATCGCCATCTTGTCCCAAATTTCTGGTGATGTGACCGGAGTAGAATCCGTGACGGCCCCTTATACGCTACATATAACATATACCATAACAGCTATACAGCAATTGACAAATATAAACATTTCGGCGCGCGTTTAATTTAATGACACTTACCGTGACTTTAGTCTGCCGTCAAGAAATAACGTAAAACCAGAAACACAGCAAATGTTTCATTAATTGGAATAATTGTTGTCTTTGTTACTTCATTTTACTCAATGACATTTATCTTGTTGTTTTACCGAGGAGCAAAATTCCACTTTAACCAATTTATTTTACCGACCGCTGTCATGGCTCTTGTCATTACCGAGTAACTTCTCGTTTTACCACAGATAAATTATAAACTGTGATTTTACCGACTACCGGCCTCACTAAAACTGGGGGGGGGGGTGTCACACACGCTACGCCCCTGCATGGAGCCAAAACAACTGCTCGCATACCTTAATTATTAAGGTATGCGAACAGTTGTTTTGGCTCCATATATCTGTATATAATAAAATTTTATCGCACAAAATTTGACTACATGCACTGTTAATAAGTAATAATATAGTTCTGTTCACAGTTGTTTCAATTGGTAGTAATTGCATATTTTAAATAATATTTTTTTTTTACTGGTCCTTGGTTTTTTTTTGAATTTGCCCGGATACATTACAAAATTTTGTACAAGAAATGTACATATTTAATTTTTGAAGACATTCAAAAGATATCTTTAGTAAAACTCGGACATGCATCAAAATTTCTGATTAAATTTAAATTTCTGAGTGAACAAGGAGCCTGGGGCGAGAATGGGATCCTGCCAGCGCAGCGTTAACTTTCAGAAAAAATCACGTCATATCGTGGACAATTTCGCCAAAATTATACAAAACACATTCGTGCAACAATGATTGTTCTACAACTAATTTTTATTCAAAATTTAATCATTAAATTGACAGATATTCAATTACGATCTACAATAAAATCAATCCCGACTCATAGTTCAAATCAAACTAACCTAACATGCGTATCTAGTCCCAGTAAATAATAATTATATCAAGCAAGGCTGCTGTCTGAAGCTCTATTATTAAAGAAAATTACAGCTTGTCTCTTCCTTTCCATGAACACGTTTTTGGAAGAAAACCTACTGTATTCAAATCAATTGTGCATGCGTACACAAATTCACTAAACAAATCCATATTATTAAAGGACAATATCATTAAACTGATTCAGGTTTATTGCCAGAAAGAACTATTATTAATTGTAAAAACAGTCTTTCGCTATTTCGTTTTCGGAAATTTCAATTTTAATTAGTGTATAAATGAAGTCTGACATCATTGGCAGGATAAGGATTTTTAGATGCTGAAAAATCGTGAGAGTTTAATGTAACCATCTATAAGCGAAAAAATTGAGACAAAAAACTGGATATGCATGCAAGCCTTGAAGAACGAATAGTAACCAATCTTGTACATAATGATTGCACGATAAGTACCCTGCCAGTGACGTCATCCTATTTATATACATTTATCAAGCAAAATCGAAAAGTTCCACATTAGCCTAATGTAAACAGTACAGTTTCAGCAGTTGTTTCTAAACATGTCAACTTAAGTTTAATTACCAATGTTGAAATCAAACTAGATTGCTATGCGGATTATAAACTAAAATGGTTCTGGAGTTGCTCGTCAGAGAGACAGAGATAAGCTAGTAATTTATTTCTTTATAGAACTACATGTCCAATGTGCTTACTTCTTGCTTAGCTTGCTCCCTGGTACATTTCTGACCACGAGTCTTCCTTTCTGGTTACGATTACTGAAGTTGTTGTTTCTTGTACACATGTAGTTATATTCTCCTGGTGCAAACCTCAATAGCATGCCACGATAAGATGCTGGAGCGTTGTTTAACTCGTCATTAAACGCTGTTTTCTGTGGAGAAGCCTGACAGAGTGTCATGCTGTTGTAGTAGCCAGAGGAAGCCATACTTAAAATAAGATCTTGTTTAGTCTCCGTTCCTTCATCACTTCTCCAAACGATTTCAGCGTTGGTGAACATTTTTAATGGCTTTTCTGATGTTAAAGGATAGTTCACAGAAGGGTCTGCCATTTCCACCATGTTGTGACGATCTGTACCTGCATAGACATTACAAAGAAAAAATTTGAAAATTTACTACGTAGTTGCAGTCAGTTAATAAATTATTTTACTACTTTATTCACGAAAAAGATGTGTTCAAGGACTACTCGCACGGAAAATTTGAGATGTTTGTTAATTTACTGTTATGATTTTTCACATTGTCTACATTTGTAGGAAAAATCGTATAGCGGATATAGTTAACTAAACATACCTGCCTTTCCCTGTCCGGCATTGCCACTAGGATTGGTATTTGATCCTTTGAAAGAAAAAGATGGTGATTTTAAAACCAGTTTCACCGAGTTTATATAATGTTAAAGAATGGATTAAAAAAGGTGGTACACGATGCAGTTTTTGATGCATTTCTAACGCAATTGCTGACATGTATAGCTATATGATATATATGTTATTGACTAGGCGAGTGATCCTGACCGGAGGATATTAGTTGCCGAGTGCATGCATGAACCATTTCTCGTTTGTATATGTATGACCGAGCGGTATAGCATCCATCTTCGTGGTGATGATGAGCGGTAGCGTCTATCTCCAAAGTCTCCAAGGTGAGTGGAGATTTACGAAGACTTAAAATCATTGCTTCAATTCCACAGCCAACTCATGTCTTCATTTAGACTACAACTCTTTACTACAGCCACACTTTGGTTATTGTGTAACACTGTTTTGGATAGCTTAGGCAAGTGTTTTGTACAAAAGCTACAGAGCTTACAGAATAGGGCTGCAGGAATTATTACTGAATCTGATTACAACATTCGGTCCTAAGATATCTTAACGTCATTGAATTGGAACAACCTTAAAACCAGACGCACTCAATAGTTTAAAACTTTTATGTACAAAACTGTTAATAACATGGTTCCTAGTTACTTGTCAACAAAATTACTGCAACTTCTGTGATACACGAACACAATTTGCGAGGCTCTGGTCATAAAACGTTTGCTCCGAGACCCTTAACTGAGTCCTTAGAGAAGAGCTTTACTTATCGAGGGCTACCCTATGGAACGACATACCCGTCGAAATCGCTAGAGCTCAATCTCTTGCTGAGTTTAAATCTAAAATTTCTTAATTATTTTATTATAATTATTTGTTTCTTTGCCTATGTACACTGTAACTCTTGTAAATATTTTTATACTTATTCATTTCCATTCGAAGAGCACATATTTTAATTTGTGAAATGGATAAAGATGTACATGTCAAATTGAACATAACCTGAGTATGAGGCTCTCGGTATTGAAGAGAGCCTGACACAATTCGCCTCTACGGGCTTTCCACCCCCAGAATATCAGCCAATTAAAATTATTTCCGGTTGTAGCATATTTCCGGTTGTCCGCTACAGGTATGTAAATACGCAAATTTCGTTATTTGCAGTTTTATATAAATTTGAATAAATACGGAGAAAAATCGGTATGTTTTTGTCGAAATATCCACATGATGGAATTCTAAGCGTAAACTATGCCTTATTCGGGGAACCATATCTCGATGGCTTTTTCCAGGAGTCTAAAGAGACAACATTCGGCGCTCTGAATAGGATTTCTTCTTCCTCGGTCCTCGTGTCATGTTAATAGTTTGTTCGAGACAGCTATTCGCTTCAACTGCGTCTGACACAGCGGCTATTGTCTTCAATTTCTGCCTGATGTTGGCATATTAGTTCGAGCGAGCTGACTACCATATCCTTGCAGGTCTTGGAAAACAGCTCGGCAATAAACTGATAAATAAGGCTTCAGCTTTTTGGAACTAAATATTTGAAAATTTCCGACATCCACATATTTTCGTTCTACGGCGACTATTACGGCGAGATACTTAGACACGCTTTCTACTATGACTATGTAGTTTTAGTTTTATACCGAGTAAAATGTTGCTGCAAAAGCGTTTTCAACGTCTTTTCGTACTTATTTTGTCATTTTTAGGCTTAATTAATTGAAAATAAATTTCAGAAATAAAGCACTTTTAACAGTATATTGACAAAATTACAAATTCTATTTTTGGTGTTTACATACGCCGGTCATATATTTCCGGTTTGAATCACATGATGCGTTTTATCGTCTCTTAGCCAATCAGCATAACATCCAGATTCTGGATGTTGAACATGGCTTTTGAGGCGTTTCGTGTCAGGCCCTCTTTCAATACCGAGGGCCTGATACTCAGGTTAAATTGAACATTGGTTTCCGACCGCTCAGGAACAAATCAAAATGCTGCGATAATTCCCGCATGCACTGAAGAGCTAGATTACAAAAAGGATGGCCAAAGAGAAAAAAATCGAATTCATTATAACCCAAGTTACATGTATATTCTGTGTTGTAATTTTTGCCAGTAATTGACAAAATATACAAAATTTGTCATTTGCGCGCCGGCTACAACAGTGCCTACTTTGTGACTCAGTCATAGTACAATGTATGTACTCCCGAATACGTCATGGCCTATTCGGGAGAACGTCGGTCTGAAAAATATGATGACAACCGTTTTCCCGATTTCAGCAGGAAATGACGACCTCATTATCTAATATCTTTTTTCATGAAGGTCATATACAATGTAATAAATTTTTTATGTAATCGAAACTTACCAGTCCACTGGATATGCACAAGACTTGCGCTAGAAATAGTCATTCGTTTCGGGATAAAGTCGTATTCTACCGCTGGAAAAGCTTGCACGATATTCCCGCGCTTTCCTCGTACGTTCAGATTATAGATGACGTCATTATCATTCACCTTTATAGGCCTGGGTAGGAGCTTGAATAAATGAGATCGATCTTGGAAAGTACGTCCAAATTGGGCGGTGTTGATGGCAAGTTGTAATGGTAACTGAATAGCACCAACTTTAACTTTTGGATTGTTTTGGACTGGAGAATGTACACCCGCATTCCTTATAAAAAGTAATAATCTCTTTGAGAATAGGCTTGCTTTATTACAATAGTTATTGCACCGGAAGTTTTGGAAAACAACCTGAGACTAATGTAAGACTTACGAATGAAAGTTTGTTAAGGTATTATATATTTTAAAATTATACATTACAAAGGAAGGTGCACAAAAACGAAATTAACCAAATATATCTTATATCTTATAGTAGCTTCTCATGCGGTTGCCATTAAATGTCTAGTTTCTAAACTATAATGCTTCGCTCGGTTTACATGCTTGACTCTTCTATCACTATATATAAATTACTTTTCATTTCCCCATTTTTAGGCTGCAAAATCATTTACGTACAACTATTTTTGCCATCTCTTTAATTTTGTTTTCAATTGGTTGTTTTATTGCCTGCATGTATTTTGGACAAGTACATGCTGGTATATATTAATTTACCAGTCATGTTTAACTTGTGTAACACGATTTGGCTGAAATAATTATTACCAGTTCAAAAGTTTTTTTTCTGTGTGGTGTAATGTACTCAGGTGAATATGATGCTTGTGATGTTACTCTGAGTGTCAGGGCCACAGAGAGGGGGGAAGGTTGCCCCTGGCTCCGAGGTGCTGCGGAGCCCTGAAAAATTTTTGTTGGGCCGCAGTCTTTTTTGCGTGTTAAACATTTCCGCGCAAAGGACAAGATATCTGTTTTCTTGGGCTAAGTACCGAAATATGTCATAAAAAATGAGATAAAGTCCCTGGAAAGCAATTGCAACGTACTTGTCGGGAAAATTTTTTACTCCTGAAAAAAGTTTTACCCCTAAAATGGTACACTGACCGAAAATTTTTTGGCGACGGGGGGGGGGGGCGGCGGAGGGTATATTCAAACCGGGCAAGCTCGAAAAATATGCCTGACCACGGTGGGAATCGAACCTACGACCTTTGGAATACTAGCCCAATGCTCTGCCAATTGATCTACGTGGTCTGGTCGGTTCAAGTATCTGATATTTCGGAACAGAATCTAGTTCCTTGGATATCAATGTTATCTAATAATCATGATTTTTTTCTGTGTTGGTGTAATGTACTCAGGTGAATATGATGCTTGTGATGTTACTCTGAGTGTGTATCCACACCGGGCAAGCATGAAAAATATGCCCGACCACGGTGAGAATCGAACCTACCACCTTTGGAATACTAGCCCAACAAGCATCGCCTTTCGAAAAGCCACACATAATTAGTTGTTAGAGGGTTCAAGGTCATGATTGTGAGACATCTTGAATACTTACGGATTGTCATTTTCATCACTAAATGTGTTAAATGGTGGATAATCTCCAGTGGAAATGTTGTACCTAACCAACGGAAAGAGGAGAAAAAAGGTTATTTAACATCATAGCAAAATGGACCTGAAAGAAAATTATTCAGAAACGTGTTTCAGAATTTTTTTTAATATTGTAAGCTCGCAGTTAATTATTTCATTTTGATTAAATTGTATGTGAAATTTTAAGAAAATGAGCCACAAAAATGTTCATTCCTAATTTAGAACGAAGATTGAATTGTGTGTCGTTACCAGGACACTTGTATAGTGGGTGTAAGTAAAGCGCGCTCTTGCTCCGTTTTTTGATGCGGAGAACAACTGGCACAAGCGCCCTTTTCAGCGAAATTTGACAAGGAGTGGAATTTTGTACACTATCATATATGTTCGCTGTTGTTTCTAACATTCACACGTTATCGACGAAGTATACATGTAACTAGTGTAACTGGTCTACCAGAATTATATGCATGCAGAAACCCCTCGCCCTGCTATACAATGTCGCCAAATTACACAGATCCTCATGATCAGAAAGACAGAAAAGATTAATGAAAGTTGAAAAAACAGCATCTACAAAAGGTCTAAATTATTTCTCTTGTAACGAAGTTCCTGCATTGTCTTTCCCTAAATTCCTGCTACTAAAAGTCTTTTATTAAATTCGTATACTTAAAAAAGTGATTATATAGGTGTTGAAAAATTATTACAACTTTATAACTAACCTCAATCTCAGGACGCATCTTTGTACACGACCAGACGGGAAATGTGGAAGAGCCCAAGTGTAACGGAAAGGAACGATACCTTGGACATTTCCTAAATGGTTTGATCTTGTGTATGGAGCTTTGGTGCATTCTGGTGCATCAAGTGCGACCAAACAACGTTTTAATGACTTCACATTATCACCAGTCGTTTTTAAATTATCAATATCTTCAGAGCGGTAAGGAATGTCCCATTTAAGAGGTAGTTTACGAGAGCTTTTAGCTTTACATTTTGCTTCTGTTTGATACTTGGGGTATTCTTCTAAATAGTTGCTGAATGAAATCCAGAACCCTTTATTTTTTTTGCAGTCAATTTCGTTGTTATAAACCGAGTCATGGCGGAAACCATTGGCTTTCGATGGGTAGTATTGAAGACACTCCCCTGCGAAAAAGCAATAAAAAAAACTAATTTAATTTCCAAAAAGATCAAAACCTCGCTTTAAATATCAGTCAACCCGTGTTAACAAATTGATTATCTCATTGTTTTTCACCTAGATCAGATTTTAGTAGATGTAATATAAACAGTAAGTGCTCTTAATAGAAATCTTATGACGATTGTTGTGAAATACACTATTATTTCATTGTAATTCAAAACACTGAGAAAGAACATAGATCTCATTATAGAAATGTTAAAGATGAAGTCCACTTCTGTGCGCATGTGCGAACTTTGTTTATGTTTTGAATTGCTATATTTGTAAAATATGATATACTAACTGAATATCTAACACTTTTCTGGTTCGAAAGTTCGAAAAATGCAAAATTTGTGCAACGTTTATATCTGCTGGGTCCCCCTTTGTTATGAGGAGAACTGATGCGCAGAACGGAGTGGAATTCATCTTTAATGCTAGAATTAATCATACCTAATTCGTTGATCAATCTTAATTAGAAAAACTTTAGCTATATTGGAAAATTACGTCAGTTAATAACAGTAGTTTTACCAGGCTAACCTTTGTTTTTGACATTGAAACTTTCTTTCCGATAATATTTACACATGCTTTCATTATAAGCAAACACCGCTATATCAATCCAGTCTGTAGGATGCCAGTAAGGATAGTAATCTCGTTCCTCGGGACATTCATAACCACTACGACCACCATTTGCATTTTGACGAGTGTAAATACTTGTCTTACCCTTCAGTTTTTGATCAGCTGTGAAGAGTCCTATATATTAAGAGAAAGAACATTCAACAAAATTGTCATGCATCATTATAGTTGTTCCGCGTAATTAACCGCGTAATTGGATTGGTTAATTAATGCTGACGAGGCAGGATTTTCCCGTATTACTCACATGGGCAATATAGTATTTTTGTTGCCCTACGAGAGCCGGATTTCAAACAAAAACTTGTCGTTTAAAATATTCAAAACGAAGTAAAATAAACGTAAAGTACGGAATAGAAAGAAGCTTAATTGCTGTGGTGATGCACTGACGCATGAGTAGTTGTTTCGTTTGGGACTTGAACTTTTGAGCTTTTGTTGGCAGGAAAAATTTACAATGTTTTTAGCAAATTATATTAACCAGCTAAGAATGTGATGTTTTGAACTTGCAAAGGGATGTCAATAATAAATGTTTTTGCTGATGTCTAAGTTGTCTACGAAGATTTTGACACCATCTGAAGGAAAAATAAATTTATTAAGGCAACCACAGGCAGGGATTATTTTAAGGTGCAGTGATAACCAATTTGTATAGTGATAAATGAGATTTGTTCAGTGACAATTATATTTTGTTTTGGGATTTTTGACGTTGCTTGGTGACACAATCAACAGTTCATAGATTAATCTATTTTCTCGAGAGCGAAAGACTAGATCTTGAAAAATATTGCTTTGTTTTTCCATGCGATTCAAAAAAAGTGAAAATGTGTATATTTTTGCACGAAATAGAATATGCAGAATGTACATGTGGGCTCATTAGCGGTGATTTTGGCTCATTTTTCTGCATATAATTGGTGACATGCATGCAGCGGTAAACTTTAAGTTGCGGAACCAGAGTATATGCACTCATGTAGGGCAGTCAGAACTTTTTCGAAAATGTCGCTGAATTTATATAAATTTTATCATTCTTCTCGCTTTTGTGCACTGATAAAATTTCGTTAGAATAATCCGACCCTGACCACAGGTTTATAGATTATTTTCGAAAATGCATTTCCTTGATATACTATCCAAAACTTTGTTTATATTTTATATCAAAAGGTAATGTTTTCATTGACCTAGAGATACACTTGTCCAATTGAAATTTATATATTCGCAAATGTTTCGGACTTGACTTTGCCCTCGCCAATGCCATATATTTTTCTTACTCTATAGCGTTATTCTAGTGGACTATCTATATATGGACTATTTTTAGCCTGTTTGTTTTCATATATAGAACTCACCTTGATTACGGCTTCTTTTGGTGCATTTATCATACCATTCCCAGGATTCATGAAGACCTCGGGTATAACTGACTGAATCACGATTCAACCAATAGTTCTTGTTTTGCGCGTGTGGTGTACTTGCGAGAACCGCTATAATTTGGAGTAGTGGTTACCTTACCTTGGAGAAATTTAATATACATGGCATTAATTTAAATCCAGGATTAAAACGCATTTAAGCACAATCCTTTATTTGTTAACAAGGTTATTCGACTGCAATTATATTATAGTGTCCTCGAAAGAAATCCTTATTTAAATAATTTATCAATTAATACTTGAAGCATAAACTCAGCAATGAGGGAGGAAACGTTTGGTTCCCTGTTTTCGATGGAGTTACATTTTTCTTACCATTCCTCATTGAGTGTTGATTCAACTTCTGATTGTTTGCGTCATCTTGACATCGGTATTGAAGAACAAAGTTACAGTTTAAATCTCGATCACTACAGCCATGTTGATTGGTCCACTCAATTGTAAGCTGAGACTTTCCTGTCAGACCTGAAGTACTTGCAAAGCCTTCGCCACTTTGAAAATAGTTCTGAAAATATTTCATAACTTTAGGATGCTTTCTGAACGTTTAGATGCACAGTGTGTTGCGAATGATTAAAATATTTAAGAGCTGGAATATAATGCATGGGAGTTGTATACTGATAAGAATTGGTTTTGCTCAATGTTTGCGAATTTTGCAGTTTCGGATGCGATTTGGCAAACCAGTGGTCACTTGACTGGAACCGACATAAATTTCCGCGATATTCTGTAAATATATGCACGAGGGTAACGTTATCAAGCCATATCATTATTTGTCTGAATCAATTCTTAATCAACAATCGGATAGTTCAGTTCTGGCAATTTTTGTATAGAATACATGCATGCTTGGTGCAAATTTTATTTTCCAAGAATATTATAGATTTAAGAATAAGGAAAACAAGAGTGCTGCTTTGGACTATAGTTGTACTCATATAAAACGCAATAATGCTGCAAGAATAATCCTTTTCCAACCTATATGTAGTATGCATGTGTATAGATTCAAATGACGAAGCGTAATGCCTAGTGGTATTCATATAACATCTATAGAATTTTATAACCCCCAGCGAATATAGAACAAAAGTTATTCCGAATAAGCAGTGCATGCATGCCTAATATTAACACACAATTTATAAAAACAGTTTTATAACGTTGAATTATACTATACTTTTAAAACGTTTTGCAATTCAAAATAGTGCACAAGGTTTTATCCTACGTGTGGATAAAAATTGGTGCGAGAGATGTTTATTTTAATATTCAGCCTTATAAAGTCTCACAGTAGCCCACAGCTGTTGACTTACCATGTTAAATTGTGTCTCCTCGCTGTTTGATTTTTGATCTTTGTCGCCTACATTGTAACCACCCTTAGCGTTGTTCTAAAAATATATAAAAATGTATAGTCTTGTGAAGTTGTTTACAAAAAAACACACAAGTCTGCATGGGTGGCTGTTGCGGTTAGTCCAAGTCATTTACAGTAAGTATATAGTTTCGCTGGTTCTCGTCTGTGTGTTGAGGGTCTTTCTCTGTGTACTACAATTATTTTCCTTCTTCATTAAAACATAAGCCTTATCACGCATCAATCGTAACTAACTAATCCCAACCGATATTGCAATAAATGTTTATGATTAGACGAATGGACGGAATGCGAATATTTGAGGCTATAGAAACTCACCTGAGAATCGAACATTCGATTATTGTTTCCCCTATTAACGTTCGCTCCATTCAAGCGGTTGTTTGAACCTCTAGGACTGTGTAAAAATGTATCAGCCTCGCTCAAGTTCACCAATAGACCTAACGGGGCAAGAACACACAATTTAATAATATGTCTTCAGGTTTCGAATAATAGCACTTCACTGTGCAACTGACGTTCGGACTTCGGAGATGGTTCATTGTAATTTTTTGTTTGATTCAGTCCCTATGGCTATGATCCGTACAAAAACACATCAGTTAGCAATTTAATACAATATTTGAAAATAATTAGAATGAAGTTTTGCAGATGAACCAAGAAATTCCAACGCCAATTCTGAAAGTGTTTCTATTTAAAAGAATCAAACACCGATTTAGAGTAATTAGTCATATTTTTTCACAATTCCGAACAAAAACTGTGCTGTATTTATTGAGCCAAATTCCAACTAGAATAATATTGCAACTTCCATTTTAATTTTTTGAACCATTAAATTCCGCGTATATAGTGTAACTCGATGTAACCATAGTTAATAGAGGAGAAGGTTTGCAAACTCGTTAGCATTACAATAAACCTCACTATCTATGTTTTTGTTCTGGTTTATGCAAAAATGTGGTCTTTCATCGTCACGCGCGTATTGTATTTTTGCTCAACCAGCCAATAGCAACAGCTTTGTCCAATTGCATGCCCATCCACGACTTTAACAATAGGACATTTTGAACATTCCTATTGGTTGACTTGAGAAAAATACGATACGCACGTGACCATGAAAGACCACATTTTTGCATAAACCTGAACAACATAGATAATGAGGTTTATTGTGATTTTATTGTAATGCTAACGAGTTTCCAAACCATCTCCTCTATTAACTATGATTTAACTCGCAGAATCTATATATAAGCTCATACTCACTTATACTATACAACATTTTTTGCAATTTCGACCGAACGTTAAATATTATCAATGATAAATAAATATAATGATTATAATATTTTTGAAGGATGAAACGTAGATCCACCAACAATGAATGGATCCAATTCATTATTGTGATGCACGTCCAAGCGATTAGCGCGTTTTAGGCAAGCAATGAGCTTTCATATTATAAACCATTTTAACAGTCGTAAATAAATTGGTTAACATTACCGAAAAACGACGTTTCAAATAATATCTTATTACAAAGGGCCAGAATGTACTTAAAAGCTCGGAAAGCTTTATTGTCTGAGGTTCAGTTTTCCAATTT